TTCACGAAGTCAGGAGACAATGATTACTGCGAATCATATCTTTGTGTGAACAAAACCTTCCAGCAAATGGTTGCACAAAGATTTCACCAAATGCTGTCATAATCACCAAGAACACATCTTATTAAAATGCTTAACATATCAGAATAATTACGACATTCTTACATCTTACATCACGATCTTACATCACGATCTAATTTTTGTAAATCAATTGCATTATCTCTCGAAAATTTTAGGAATTATAATTCGGTAATCATATACTCTTTTAGTCTTTTACGATTTTCTTTAAAATTATTTTATTTCTACAGTCTCTTATTGAGGTGGCTTATTTTTCTTTATTGCAACGAACCGTTCAATAATTTCATCTTGAGTCTAGACAAGGACATAGATAGTATAATTATTTCCGAGTATTATCGTCTGGGCGATAGGAGACTGATCACCCCCCACTTCCCCAATTTAGAATTAAACCATGCACTAATGCCGTTGTGTGACGAAAACAAAATGAATCTAGAATTTGTAAAGGGACGTTATGTCTGCATGCTGGGGACGTGATTACACTGAGATACTACAGTAAATCTGATTGGTTATTGTTGTGCAGAGCTTCAATCTTATTGGCTTACAAATGATGTGATTAATGCTCAAATATAGTCCGATTTGGGAATTAATCACACTATTTTTAACCAATCAGATTGAAAGAAACACCATTGATTTCAAAATGAATAATTTTTTAATACGTGCGATAATTGCATGGGAGTGTACAGTACATTCATACATTCGGCTGTGCCCAAGGAATTCTTTTAAAAATGCAATTGCCAATATTAATTTCTTTTCAAATCCATTGTCTTACAAGTATGTTGACATGAATAATTATATGAATATGTGCCCCCTCCCCCCAACAATTATCGTCTCCCGTACGCCACTTGAACTGTGGCTTGTCGTATCCCCGCTGATTTCAGAAGATTTTTAAAGTTTTAAGGATGCTGGTAGCTGTTCGAATAATAGTGGTTCATGCCACCCATGACCATGCAGGAGAGCGGGCTATATTTTATGATCGGTCATCATTGCACCAACTACTAAATTGCTTGGGAGCGAGGTATCTCGAGGATGTTCAGCTACTCGATGACCATGATAACAGGGTTTTAAATAACATTTTTACCTAATCCGCAAGTTTGAGAATATGCGAGTTTCACGTGTACCAATCGTCCTTTCTCATTTTCCCTCCACACGATACGATAAATTTTCAGAAAAGCTGACCAATCTCATGCAATGCTCACACAATCAGCCTAATTTACTTGCAACATATAAGTAAACATATATGTCGAGGAAACATATGTCTACTCACCCCTATGTCTCCTTTTCTTTCAAACTGTAGTTCTCAGTGACTCGACAAAATTGTCAAAGATTTTTTAGAAGTTTACAATTTTAGGGACAGGTAGCCAAATTATTGATTTATGACACAAACCCAGCTCCCCCGCGCCCTCTTTTCAACGTTGTATCCCAAATAGATGGACATTTTTTTCGCAAACATGTTTGGATTTAAAAACCAACATTGACTGGAGGGAGAGAGGTGGGAGATATATGACAATCATGAATCATCATGTATATAGTAGATTTTAGTTAAAAATAGTAAGTGTTCCTTATTTAAAAATCAAATCATATTTATGCTTTGCTTTTTAGCGCATATATAGATCAGTAACACATTCATATAGACATGCAGATCCTAAGTTTTAGGGATTTGCTGAGAATACTTAAGGGGATTATAACACTATTTTTTGTTAAAACGGCATTGAACTAAAAACAAAATTTTACCATAGGCAGCCCGATGGCGAATGGTGTTATTTGAAATAAAAGTGCACTAAAACATTAAAAATTAAAACAAAGCTATCCGTATTTTGATTAAATTGAACATGTATCATTTTTTTCATTATAACTAAAATCCTGAATCCTGTATAGTACGCAACGGGCGACTCGCGTGCTCGCTGACAGTGTTCAGGCAATGTATACTATATAATGCCTACATTGCCTGAACACTGTCAAGCACGCGAGTCACCCGTTGCGTAATACATAGGATGTCAGGATTTTAGTTAGCATGAATAAATGATACATGTTCAATTTAATCAAAATACGGATAGCTTTGTTCTAATTTTCAATGTCTTAGTGCAATTTTATTTCAAATAAAACCATTCGCTATTGGGCTGTCTATGATTTTACTAGTGCAATTATAACATGCGAGCGCTTTGGTTTTGCGATAAGTTGGTAAAAGCCTTCAGTCACTAAGAATCACGGACGCAAGATAGTATTAGGTGACGTCTGAACAACTGTTTATTATACGATGAAAACAACACCGTGATTTTCTGGAAGCTGTGCAGACATGATAATTCGAAGGCTACTCATGCATGCTGATGCAAAAAAACACCTATTTAATTGACAAGTGTTTTGTGTGTACGAATCTTCCAGTAAATGGTACGTACAAAAACGCTACCAAATTTCCGTTATAATCACAGCATGCGCATGCTGTTATGGTGAATCATCTTTCAAGTAAAATTTGGACTCTGAACAACCTAGATGAACATGCAATCCAGATTTTGTATACAGATAGAAAAGTCGTATCTAGACCGCTGGAGTTGGAGGAACCGAATGGAAACGATATTGAAATGCCGAAACTTTTCCTGACTAGTCTAGGACCTGTAAAGGAGTTTGTATGCATTTCATTTAGGACAGATTATCTCAACTGTTTTAGGGTAAAATGACCATGGCGGTCAACATGGCATATGTGCCAAAATGTGAATCCGGGACGAAAGTCCTGAAAATGACCACACCCAGAAACGGCATAGTCGACATAGCTCTAAATCCTGAATTACCAAAGCTACAGTCTTTCTGAATTGTTTATATGGTTCAGAATGGTTGCTTTCAGGGGTGGTCACTAGAGAGTGAAATTAGCCTAAGTTTCATATTTTACAAGAAAATGAATGTTTACTATTCTAGGTAAACTGCTAATTATGCATAAAATTACAGATTCACCTGGCACTCTAATTTTCCCTATTTTCTAAAAATTTTTGCCATATGATGAAAAAACATGCTTATTTTAATATATTTATTATAAATTTCCTAGGAAATAACAATGTTTTGTTGCGATACGACATATTTCATTTCACTTACCCTCCGCCATAACACGATTTCAGCCATATTTTGAAAATTTGATCGCCGTTTTTCGCCCTCCGTCGCAAGCACCATCTAAATACTGTACTTTAGCACGATTCTAGTGGACTAAAGAATTATTCAACCAATTTTCGATGGGTTTTGAAGTAGTGCCATGTAATATTTTTTCATTTTTGTGTCCCCTGACACAAAAATGGGGGTGGGATATTCTCACGAATACATTATTACTAGTATATATATTATTATTAATAATACAATAATTAATAATAGTAGTAATACATTATTATTAGTATTCTCACGAATACTGGTTTATTTTTTTAGCTTTGTGAAAGCAAGAACATGAAATTTAAACGCGGAGACTTGTTAATTTTTTTATGAGAAATATTAACAGCAAAAACGGACAAATTTTACTCGGGTTGTTGACTGATTGTGGTTGTGAACAAATGTATGCTTGAATTTGCGTCCCCCCGGAATGCTGTCCACGAGGGCTCGTCGCGGAGTTTGCGCGAGACTTTCAAATTATTTTGAATCTTTCGAACTTAAATTTCATTCTCGATAAACGAGGGGTGGTTTTTTACTTTCAAGTGGCACAAATGCTTTTAAATTTTGGATAGCTGCTATTATACTGTCAATTATTTATCGATGCTGTGAAAATAATACAGCTGGGGATCAAGAACTGACATTTATCGTGCAGAAAGGCGACGAGACATGACAATGGCGACATAATTGATGAAATGTCAGGGGACACAAAAATGAAAAAATATTACGTTGCACTACTTCAAAACCCATCAAAAATTGGTTGAATAATTCTTTAGTCCACTAGAATCGTGCTAAGGTACAGTATTTAGATGGTGCTTGCGACGGACGGCGAAAAACGGCGATCAAATTTTCAAAATACGGCTGAAATTGTGTTATGGCGGAGGGTAAGTGCAATGAAATATGTCGTATCCCAACAAAACATTGTTATTTCCTAGGAAATTTATAATAAATACATTAAAATAAGCATGTTTTTTCATCATATGGCAAAAATTTTTAGAAAATAGGGAAAATTAGACTTTGCCAGGTGAATCTGTAATTTTATGCATAATTAGCAGTTTATCTAGAATAGTAAACATTCATTTTCTTGTAAAATATGAAACTTAGGCTAAATTCACTTTCTATATAGTGACCACCTCTAAAAGCAACCATTCTGAACCATATAAACAATTCCGAAAGACTGTAGCTTTGGTAATTCAGGATTTAGAGCTATGTCGACTATGCCGTTTCTGGGTGTGGTCATTTTGAGGACTTTCGTCCCGGATTCACATTTTGGCACATATGCCATGTTGACCGCCATGGTCATTTTACCCTAAAACAGTTGAGATAATCTGTCCTAAATGAAATGCATACAAACTCCTTTACAGGTCCTAGACTAGACAAGAAAAACAAATTTTTCATCATCGCATCATGCGGTAAACCTTTGAGTGACGCGAACCCCTTCCGAACCACCCTGGTCGAACCGTGATTCTCTTTTTCATGCAAAATCGGAAACAATTCCTGCAAATCAAATTCATTTTAATTTAAATGCCTTTGTGTGAACAAAGCTTCCAGCAAATGGTTTCACAAAGATTTGACCAAATTGCTGTCATTATCACTAAGAACACTGTCATTAAAATGGTAAAATGAAATTCTCTAAAAATTGAAATTATTTCTATAGCGGATTTGAAACATTTCAAGAGACAAGGCAATCTCGTTTCTTGTTTAGAAAAATTGCTTAGCTACTCACTCTTTGATAAGACTGAAGGGATTAATGCTGGTCGGGTAACTATATAAAGGTAACTATATAAAAAATTAGTATGAATATTCAGACAACATTGAACGGTTGAACCGTCATTTGGTGAGACGAAACCGGATCGAAGGATGCACGATCAAATATTTTAAATCAATTGCCTTACCACCCGAAAATATTGCAAATTATACTTTGGTAATCATATACACTTAATCTGTTAATCATCCTTTTTTTTTAAATTATTGCACTTGTCTTCAACAGTCTCTGCCAAGGTTCCTCCTAATTCTTCTTTGCCAGCAATCGGTCGATAATTTCATCTTCACTCTAGAAGGAATAAATACACACATCAATAGTACATTATTACCTATGGAAATATGCTACACTCATATACTATTTCCGCACTACATCAATACAGTATAAAAATGACAATTATAGTATGGATATTGGAGAGGTTTAGAACGAGGACGTGAACGTCAAAGATGACGTGACAACGTCAAAGACGACACGAATAAATGGCGTGGCATGCATGTCCATATATAGACGCATCACGCCATTTATTGTCCATTCTCACGTCGTCTTCGACGTTCACGTCCTCACGCTAAATCTCCCTTTCATCAACTTCCGGAGATGGCATTTCCAACTAGCATACATAATGGAGATTTTGAAAAGAATTTCCAGTGAATTGAACCCGCATGTGGTACTGCTGTAAGAGTCTCGATCAATCTTCTTACCATACCCCCCTGTATATATTCACGTCCAGCGTTATTATTATCTTTTGAAATTTATTGTTTTTACTGTCTGGTAATAGGCTAATATGAATATATATGAATATATATGAATTTTACCCCTACACTACCTACAAATTTTACCCCCCCCCCACCCACTTAACGATCCCATGCACCAAAATGAAGGAGAAATGATTATCACAAATGCGGCAACTGTGATGTGAAAACGTATTAGAAAATAATCTAAACTTAGTAAAGAATCTCAAAGATAAGATCGATGCAAAGACATGCAGTCTGACCGGTATATGAATCGTACTGAACGGTACTCACCCTTATGTCTCTCTTTCTTTCAACCTTCAGTTCTACACTGGCCTAGATAAATATGATCAACAAAAAAGCATGTTCATGGATGAAAACCCTCGCAACAAGCTTACGAGTTAGTCATAAAGAGAAAAGAGACTTAATTAGCCTAATAAACAATAACCTCTTGATAAACAAGTCGAGTCTTGGGGGTTTGGGTTTCCTATTACCTTGGGTGACCAGTTGGGCAAATAATTGTCACGAAGCTAGGTGATATATTTAACAACAAGATGCCCGCTAGGCATTAAACTCGCATTGCTTGAGTCGAGCTAGGGCTATGACAAAAAAGACGCTTACTCAGGCGTGTGTTTCGGCTTGCCATAGTTGTTCAGCTATGCAACGGAACGGGCGTAAAAACTCGTAAGAACTAGTGAGAACTCGTGAGATTGATTTGAGATTGTATTCAGTTTGATCAGGGAATTCATAGCGATATTAAGCAACTTTGGTTCAACATGAAGTTGAAAAGCCTGAAAGCAACAGAACACCCCGTTTCGAAAACGCTCGGCATCTTTTAGTGCAGGGCTACTCTGCTCGGCGTGTGCAGTTGTATGTAAGGTGAGCGTTAAGATAAATATGGCACTTGGAAGCCACATTTCGATATATCTTAAATTTTTATCGTCTTTTGTCCACAAGAAAACGATGAACGTCATGAACGAATGCACTCAGCAGTGCATGCACGTTAGCTTAGCAACCACGCCTGCGTAGCTCGTGGCTTGCAGGTCAGCGCACCTTATCGCACCTTGCGGGTCGCGAAATTCTCGACCATAAAAATATTAATAAGAACGCTTCCCATTTTAAGAACTCGCTTGCGCATTGCGCAATGCGAGTTAATTATGCCATGTGAGCATAAACTCGTATAATTATGACGTATATGAGGCGATAAGCAATTTGTTTCTTTAGGCTCAGTAATTGGAACCTTTCATGATTTAATTAAATGATTTAATAAATCTTTCCCCATGACTATAAACATAAAGAATTAGTAATCAGGGATAGCAGTAGGAGGAAACGAAATTCCTATTTCTAAACTGCTCTCCTGGATATTGGCTTGTAATCTCTTAAACTGCGTAAATTATTGACGTTCGTTTAAAATAATTTCCGTGAGTCACGCGAGAGAAAAATTCCGACCACTGAATCTTAATCTTAGAACAACAGGAATCTAACAACGTCACAGAAAAGTTGAGAAAAGGTAGTGCAATCGCTTCCAATCGATGCTACATGTCAAAGCAAATAGTTGAAGTCAAAGCAATTGAAATAGAACATACCTGTAGTTGTTTCAATTGTGCTCCGCAAAGGGCAGCGCGGGCACCTTTAGTAGGTGGTGGTCAAGTCTATATTAAAGAAAAATCAACATTGACTATCGTGTGGTTAAATTTCCATTAGAAACTATCAAAGATTGCCTTTCTTATTTCTATTATATATATAAACAGCCCATTTTATAATATATTTAAATCAAAGCCGAAACTGATTTTAGCTGTTACCATCTAGAAAAATCGAGTTAAACCAGTCGTCTATGAATGTGAATGTGCGCTGTTTGTGACTTTGCGTAATTTTTGAAAATCATGATTACTATCGTAGCTGTTTGGTAAAATTTAGCCAGCTTGCGAAACGGGCATAAAAATGTACTATCTAGCCGATATATAGAGTTAGGACTTGGGATATAACTCAGTGGAAGTTTAGAATATATCAACGCCTACCCAACGCCGGCAACGCGATATCGTCTCCCTGTGCAAACACGACCTTTTTACATTCAGCAAATAACCTTCAATAAGAAAACATGATACAAGTGTCACTTACTTGAGCATCTGTAGAAGTTAAGTAGGTGAAGAACATTAATAGTAAAACTGTCTTCAGGCAAAACGACGCCATAGTTTGTATTTTTGATATTTGGTTCCAAACTTACAGCTTGTGCAACGTATAGTGTACTAATGTTGAATGGTGATCTCTTGAAATATATATCGTAATAATAATACCTTGCAAACAACAGCTTACGTCATCACATGATGAGTAAGCAAAACAGATTATATAATATGAGCATGGCATGGTGGAAAGTACGGAGCGCGGAGTACGGAGTCGGAGTACGGAGTCGGAGTACGGAGTCTGAATTAGACTCCGTATTTTCCACCGTGCCGGGGGGATCGGTGGAAAACACGGAGTCTGTGATAAAAGTAATTGTAAACGCTTGACATTCGATTCTAACTTGACTCCGTATTTTCCACCGTGCCGGGGGGATCGATGGAAAACACGGAGTCTGTGATAGAAGTAATTGTAAACGCCAGATATTCGCAAATATATTTTAGGGTTGTTAATTACATATTAAATAACATTACATAAATTTCTGATTTTCTTCGTAATTATATCAATATTTTGTCATATAAAACACAAAGAGAGCGCGCGCGTGTCAAATCAGCATTTGCGCAGCATTCATATTTTGACTCTCAAGATGTCCTGGGATTTTATTCGGAATTTGCTTTTTATTTCCCATTTGGTAATTGTATCAAAGATGGCCAGGGAATGGATGTTTCAAGGGAGAATATGTCACAAACTTTCAAACGTTTACTTCCATTGTTGTAGAGGATGTATTCAACGAAAGGAGCCTAGATTTGTAAGAAGAATATGCATAGTTCCGCAACAAATTGAGCCTCACCTTCTTCCAATTCACCACCACTTTATTGAAATGAACTTATAGTTTGTGGTTTAACTCATAGTTTAATTTGAGATTACTACATTACTACTTTATATCAATTAAAACGAATGCTATTTTCTAATATAAAATTGGTATTGTTATGTTAAAAGTTATGGGAACTATTATGTTAAAATAGAGGAATTGTTGATAATTCAGACATTTTTTAAGTTCCTCAAAGAAATAAGCCAAACAAGAAGAGACACTGCGTTTTCTGACTCTAGTTAGAATCTTATTACAGTATTTTAAACATTGAGATTATTACCCTATTAATGATTGAATAAAGTATTTAAAAAAAGTAAGATATTTTCTTATACCCAAACCGCAAACGGTCAGCGCTTTTCCGCGTTTTACTAAAGTTTTGTCGCACAGATGTTTGTTGTATCTTATATTATTTAATTTACTTTTATTTAATCGAATCAGAGCGATCGGTCGATGTAATTAACAACCCTAAAATATATTTGCGAATATCTGGCGTTTACAATTACTTTTAACACAGACTCCGTGTTTTCCACCGATCCCCCCGGCATGGTGGAAAATACGGAGTCAAGTTAGAATCGAATGTCAAGCGTTTACAATTACTTTTATCACAGACTCCGTGTTTTCCACCGATCCCCCCGGCACGGTGGAAAATACGGAGTCTAATTCAACTCCGTACTCTAATTCGACTCCGTACTCCGACTCCGTACTCCGACTCCGTACTTTCCACCATGCCTATGAGCATACAGTATTTGCATAATTTAATTATAAAAGGACAAAATCGCTTACATATAAAATAAATGACTGTGGAATTATGTGAAAAATACTGAATTAGGAATTTCAGATCATGGGCACATTTGTGTTTGTATACGAAATTTTACAGCATTAAGTTTCACTGCGTATGTCATTTAAATGAAGTTCTCGCAAAGTCTTCTCTAATTTTTATCAAGCGTAAACAAATGACCACATTCTGAGGACAGAAAAGGAACCGTTCGCCCAGGCGATGACGTAAACTGGAATAAAGTTTGACCTTCTGGTAGGAAATAAACGGCCGCAACATCCTGAATCCTGCATAAATTGCGTGAAAGAAGTTCAAAAGGTCAGTGAATAAAGTGCAACACCGCAGAACAACGTCGGCATATGTGTCAACACTGCCTGTAAGCCTGTATTTGTAGCTTTGAAACATCAAATTAAAAGTGTTCGGACGCTTCCTACGGCTCAAAATGTTGGGGATAGAGTGACTTTTGTGCGTGTAGCGGTGTAGTATTTCGAGGGTTTTCTCAACTTCTTTGGTTTGAACTTTTATTATGAGAATTTTACAAAAATATTCTGGCTAATAAACTCACCCTTGCTAAAGAAAAATTAACCAAATTAACCTAGTTCCCCCTGTTTCAGTGCTTTAAGTATCATTGGCTGTCAATGAATGTCTATAGCTAACATATATTTTCGCGTCTGTTAAAGGTAATGTGCGCATGTTTTGTTTTAAAGATTGATATTGAAATTTCCGCCAGATTTTCATAATTTGGCGTTCAGAGTAATATCTTATATATATTTAGTATAAATTTCATTAGAAATTCTATATGTATAATGTGTTCACAGGTATCGTAACTGGAATATTATCACATGCTCGGGATTTCTCATTCAAAGAAAGGAACTTTTTTATGTACTCAAGGTATGGCAGATTCTTTGGGCGTAGGTTGGATACCTTTGAGCCATACCTAAACTCTGGACCTGCTTACGAAATTGTGAAACAACGATAAAGCCAAAATTAAAATTTTAATTCAAATGCCTTTGTTTGAACACAGCTTCCATGCAGCAAATTGTTTCACAGAGATTTGACCAAATCGCTGTCATAATCACTAAGAACATTGTCATTAAAATGCTTAACGTATAAAGATTATATGCCCACAGAATTACAGAATTTTTATGCCTATAGAGTTAAGATAATTTTAGAGTCGGAAACATTTCATGAGACAAGGCAATTTCGTTTCTTGCCCAGAAAAATGCTTCGCTATTTATACTGATATAGAGTAGAAAATTGATCAAAGCTTGCGGAAAAATTTTGACATTGCGGATATTTTGAAAAGTGTAAACATAAGATAATATTACAAATTTATTCTTCATTATTTTCCATCATAAATTTGACGAAACGTCATGTATATTCGTGATTGATCTAACTTTATTTTATGTAAATCAATTGCCTTATCTCTTGAAAACATTGCTTCAAATACCATCCACTACATGCAACGATATTCTTTCTAATTTCTTTGTATTCTTCCCATATTATTTTACTTGTCTTCTATAGTCTTTTATCCAAGGGCATAAATCCTGGGGAAACGGGGGGACACCCCCCCACACACTTTTGGAGTAGGAGAGGATGAATATTTAATTGTCCCCGCCACTTTTTTATACCATAGTATTTTATCTAAGGTATATTAAATAAAAAAATCAAGAAATGGTCTTCACAAAATTATTATGTGAACTCGAAAGTCCAAACTATTAACATTCGACAATTCCATATACTGAAACAGTTGATAAATGAAGTAATTGGCTGCTATTTTATTGACCGCGGACCGACTTTGAGCTGGCTTTTTGTAACCTTATGCAAATAACTAATGTTAATTGTTTCAAGAGAAACTGAGGCGTCCCCCCCCCGCTTTCCAACATGGATTTACGCCCTTGCTTTTATCCACGTGCTAACTGCTAATTATTCATTCCAGCGTCAACCAACCGTTCAACAATTTCATCTTCACTCTATAGAAGCACATTAAATACTATAATTATTACGGTTTACGGAGTACTTCGGATCCGCGCAATCTGCATGCGATAGAAGACTGACCGAGGACCTGTTTCCAAGTGTATCCAATAAACTTTTTATTTGTTTGAGGTTGTAACATACTGCGAGCACACGTTAAAAGTAATCTTTGCTACAGTGCGATATGATTTCCGAGGACTTTTCGAGAAGTTCCAAGTTAATCAGTTGAATAAACTTAAGGCACATGTTGGCGAAGTGTTTCTACGATACGTTATTATCAATGATGATATGATTGGTGCTCAAAGAAAATGTTGGACCGAGCAAGACAAATTGACAATACTGCATGATAAAAAGGGTTTTATTTTTAATAGTTCATAAACGCGAAAATGTAGTGGAAATGTCAACATCGTTCGTGTTCGTTTTTTCCCTATATAAAAAACTATAAAATGGTTCAAAGTTACTCCCAACAGCTCGCAGGGTTAGAAGCTTTCATACACCCTGTGCATGTAGATAACAAATTCAATGGTAAAATCTTTTTGCTAACCTCTGTTTCTCTCCTTCTTCGTTCTTGACTGGACAAGATTGTTAAAGATTTTCCGTATTTATTCCACAAACGCAATAGCCTATATATAAAAAAAAGCTGTGGACGGACGCAAACTTATTTACGCTTTTTTTAACTTCATCCTTACTTGCATGATGTGATAAAGGGCGGTTTATGCCATTTAGACATCAGATGTTTTACCAGCTTTTTGTTTTGTTATAAGCAACTGTTTCTTTCAAAATTTATATTAATTTTTTCAAATCCTAGCTCTGACGGTTAACATTTTTATAATACTTGGTAAAGAGACTAAATCGTAATACCGCGGTACGGCGGTAGGTCACTAATACGTTATAGGGTATCTAGGGTTTAATTCATTAACTTTCATAAAGGATACAATTCATCAACACCAGAAACTGCCCTGACCTAGACAAGTTCAGTGGTATATAAGCAAAGATATTTTATATTACTGAGCTAAACTAAGCGCACTTAAACCGGCAAAATTAGCAAAACTAAGCGCATATAAACTGCGTTTCTACAAAGGCTGTTTCCCATCACATTCCCGCGCGTCACTTTAAAATACTGAGAAATAATCAATGGGAAAACGAGCCCGTATGGCGAGTTTTTCCACTTCTTTCGAGTTCTTCAAAACTCTCACAAGTATTTCTATGACTGAATAGAAACCCAGGAAAAAATGTTTTCTATTTATTTATATAACTCAATAAAAAGATTTTGTACAAATGTTATAATCGATTCAATTACAAATACTGATTACACTGATTACTTCGTTTGTCAAGTTCATCCTGGGTTATATCGCTCTGCGCAAGCATTGAGCACTCTATCCCGGCGGACGATTTAATATGCGTTAGTTTCTCTCATCACGATAGTTTCTATCACTACATTTATATCATTTCGCAATTCTTTGCTTCGCATTTATTTTGTAGATGGTACTCGGGAAGGATTTTAGTAGGATATGTCACCGAATGGCAGCCTGCCATGGCAAGCAAAAAAATGTACTTGACCACGGCAGGATTTGAACCCACGGCCTTCGTTATACTAGTCCGATGCTCTGCCAACTGAGCTACATGGCCAACACGGGTTTTTGATATTATCATATTACACAACATATGCAATTCTAATTAGATTTTGAGTATGTATCTAATTATCTATCTGCGGCCAACGTTTTTGCAAATGGAGCTATGCCTATACAAGGTACATCTATACAACGTTTTTGCATATATATATATATTTGACCACACAACAAGAAAAATTTTCGATAGAAATGGAAAATTTGATTTTGAGCCAGGACAGACAAATGGTTCGTCATGCTCAGACGAGCCGCAGTTTTCTTATAACGAAATGGTGGACATGTTGAGGATTAACATCACGAATAAAAAATCTTGTTAATAAATCGTTTAATCTTTGTGTTCAGTTTCTCGCTTTAATTTATTGATTTCCCAACCCTTGCATGAGATCCGTCACGCTAAAATCAATGATGCATTTAATCCATTGCGCGCAGTGAAATATTCGTTTGCATTCGTCGCGCATTGATCCTAGTATACGCATTATTTTTCTTGTAACATAATTTTGTTAATGAAAAAGCAAACTTGCCCTAGGTATACCAGATAAGTCAATCTCTACGAACACAAACATTTCCCAAATTCTGCAACATTTCTTGATAAACGGAAATTTTACATTTTGGACATTTTTTGGTACACCCTGTATATATACATCATACCTGCCGTTTCTTTAATCTTGCGAGGTACGAGATACTTAAACCACGGCTGCCACCACCCTTATAAAGAAATATCGAGATCGACTATTGTGCGGTTAAGGTTCTATTTTAAACAGACAACCTGGCATGGTTTGGCGATGACCTTCTTTCAGTGAAATAATTCATATAAGACGAGATTTGACTAGTTGGCACTTGGCAGTCACGTATCACTACACTACACAAAACAATGTTTATACTTCAGATGTACCTTGTATAGGCATAGCTCCATGCATAACAACGCCAAACCCTAATTAAAGGCCATTAAATTGGATGGTCGTCTTGAAATCTAATTATCAAATGTGAATGTGCGTGCAATGTTTGAAACCCATATTAATTATAACTAATAAATACTCTCCCTGTTTGGTGAAATTTAGCCTGTTTGAGAAACCCACCTTGAAAATGTACTATGTAGCCGTTATAGACTTAACAAATTATAACATATAAATAAGCGAAAATTTGGAACATTCCACTGCGTACACGATATCGTCTTACCACACGACCTTTCTACATTCTGCAAATAACCTTCTACGAGTAAACCTGATGTCTCACTTACGTCTTATGCATTTGTAAAAGTTAGGTAGGTAAAGAGCATCAAAAGTAAAACTGTCTTCACGCAAAACGACACCATATTTTAGTAATTGGTTCCAAAATCACAGCGTAATTATGCAACGTATAGTCAATATAGTGTACTAATGTTGAATGATGATCTCTTGAAATATATATATTGTAATTTATAAGCAAGAGCCTACGTCATCAAGTCATCACGTCACGCGATCCATCATTTAAGCACAACAGATTATGTGTACGAAAATACATTACTGAGTTTTTTTTAAAATGCTGTAACTGGGCATAAGGAAACCGCTCGCTGAAGACAAAAGGAAACCGCTCGCTAAAGCATCGATGTTAACTGAAGTAAATTTTGACACAGCTGCATGTGGTATAGGGTAAAAAACAGCCACAACATGCTGAAACTTGCCAACTGAAATGCGTCAGAGAAGTTCAATAGGTCAAGAAATAATGTCCAACGTCGCAGGAAAAAACGTCTGGCAGCCCTGTCACCTTTGCAATTATATAGCAATATTTTCCATTCAACATTTGATCTTAATCTTAATATAAAGCTTTCTTATATATAATTACGATTCTTAAATGGATAAAATGTGCTATCGCCTTCTTTGAACTTTGAAGCTAATTTTGACCCGAATTGAAGGGGAAACTCCAATTGATGAATAAATTGATCGGCGGTATTCGACAATATTGTTTACTGTCGCGCCAAGAAAAGCAATAATTTTTTAGATTAATTTGTATCCTAAATTAAATTCTTTGTATGTACATATCCATTAGTTCAGTAGCATCGCTTTTCAAATATATCGACTTCATAAAATCTTTCCGTTGAGCACCTGAGACCAGCTGTGCGAAAAGCGTTTATCTTAAACGGGCGGATGGGTTCAAAATGAAAAATATAATTTATTTATTTAACAACGGATCCCGGAGCTGAAACATTTCGGTGTAAATATATTCAGTTTCCAATTTTCATTGGAAGTATATACATATTTAACGCACAAGATGTTGGTTCAGTTATTCAGAAAATGTATAAAAGTATATCAGCTCTTACCCACTGGTCCGTTGAAGTTATGCGCTTTATTTCGATGAATGTAGTAGAGTTTTGACCTGTGATTGTTTATTAACACTGATACTGATACCATTCGATCTATATATATACAATATTAAGAATTATAAGTAAAGTAATAATGTAAATGAGTTAAGAAATTAATCGTTGCTACTTATTTCTTTGGCGTGTCCTCAGGGCTACATTCAATATTTATCTGGTTAGCAATACAATACAGGTTAGCAATACAGGTGTCGACAATACAGGTTAGCTTTACTTTTAGATCCTTTTGATAGGAGTTCCTAATTGGCTTTAACTTTAACATGCAATCTACTTTTCGTGTCAACTGACACATGTCATTGTCACAAACTAATATAAACAGAACTAATATAACATAACGAGTCTAGGTAATTGTCGAGAGTCGAGAGTCGAGAGTAAAAGGTCGAGAGTCGAGAGTAAAAGGTCGAGAGTCGAGAGTAAAATGTCGAGAGTCGATTTCGCGCACAAAATGATGTTTTTATTTTTGTATTAAGTTTACTTTTACTTATATTCACTGCACGTTACCTATGCTAAGAGACTATTCACCTTCCGACCTGGATGCGTCAAGTGACAGAACTCGACGCACACCTTGCGCTTTTTGTCTCGTTTATCAAGCGCGATCGATTCTGTTAAAGATTATATACTCATATTTCTGAGCGTTTTAGCATTTCTGACACACACGCATGTAGACCTCCACGAAATAAAATGCCTGCATTGAATACGCCACAGACAGCGATGTTTGTAAGTGTTATATAGATCTTGCCTTCCTTTATCTGACCCTTCAGATAAAGGTCAATCACAGCAGGTAAAAGTCTAAAAGTAAAAGTCTATAAAAGAAACTAGTGTGAAAAGGGCGTGTTTGTTTGATGAACAAGTCGCAGTATATTTCATTTACGTTACGTTGCTCGCTTCTAGGGCTTTCGCCAGAGCCACGTCTTCGGACTCATTTGGTATTCATTTTCCTCGCCCGAGTTTCCCGAGTTACCGCTCAAAATATCGGAATATAACCGTTTCAACATTTTTTTATATTTATGCAACACTTTTAAAGACAGAATCGATCGTTTCATAAACGAGACAAAAAGCGCAAGGTGTGCGTCGAGTTCTGTCACTTGACGCATCCATGTCGGAAGTTGAAACATAAAGCGTCAATTGATAAAAAAACAGTGTCACCATAGTCTCTTGGCATAGGTAACGTGCTATGAATATAAGTAAAAGTAAACCTAACACATAAATAGAAACATCATTTTGTGCGCGAAATCGACTCTTGACATTTTACTCTCGACTCTCGACTCTCGACAATTACCTAGACTCTAACATAACTAATGTACCTTATTTAATTAATCTATAATTGTTTCCTGAGTACCTCACGAACCACTCACTGTTTAATCTAAAAGCTTTTCGAACAACTGAATTTTTGGAAACAGTACTAACTGTGATGAAGATTTCAATTGTTATTATATATTTCTTTACAAAGCTGGTATATTCAGTTTTGATTTCTTTAAAACATAATTTGAATTAATATTATAGCTACTCACTGTATATTATGAGCTATTCCGAAATCTGTTTGATCGAGCTAACCACCGTATATCAGCTCCTATATGGCTATACGGCGGGTAGCAAAGCCGTAGAAAAAGCAAAATGGCTGACCAGTTAGCTGAGGTAAATAAAGAAGAAATTGACAGAATTCTGGTATACTTTTGTCGCTCAACAAATGGAATTCGGCTATATTATAAAACTCGCTCTCGTGGTATATGGCTGATAGTGATTTAGCCGGCTCGGTGCTACGCAACTCATCGGCTATCAGCTCATACGACTCGAGCTTGTGGTATGATTGTTAACTAAAAATAATTATATGCATGCAGCAACCCCTCGCTTTTTTAAACCAAGTACACAATTTCCTGTGCTTATCTGACCTAAACTTATAATATGAAATGACACAAAACTCAATATAGGTGTGTCATATTTTATCATATCTGGCAATATTAAATTTTATGGAGTATATATTATAGGTATAGCTAATATTTCTATATCATTCGCGGGTACAAAAGTAATCATATAAAGCTAGTCTAAACTTTGTCTTTGGTAGTATACAATATTTACTGCATTATGCGGCCATGGCAGCAATTAATTATTAATGGTTTAAAATCTTCAAACGATTAAAAAGTACAAAATCTTCAGAGACAAACAGAAAACCTCAAATGTTATTTTATTCTGTGATTGCAGTCGAGGGCTAAAAGTTTTACTACTTTTAGTATGTAGTGACATTATTTTGTCATATCAAAATTCAAATTACACTTTCAAAAACACTTTTTGAAGTTAAAGCGAAGGTGTAATAGACTTTTACAGTTGGTTATGCCTTTGCAAAAAGGCATAAAAAATGGAAATTATTCCGAAATAAACTGCATTCTCCTGTTTCAGTGCTTTATGTATAATTGGCTTCAATTATTATGTCTATAGCTAACGTATACTTTCTCATCGGTTTAAAGGTAATGTATACGCATATTTTGTTTCCGGCAAAGATTGATATTGAAATTTCCCGCCAGGATTTCATAATTTGGCGCTCAGAGTAATATCTTATATATCTCTGGTATAAATTTCATTAGAAATTCTATGTAATGCGTTTACTGCATGGAATCGCAACTTGAATATTATTACTTGCTCGGGATTTCTCATCCAAAGAAAGCAATGAACTTTTTTACTCAAGGTATGGCAGATTCTTTGGGCGTAAATTGGGTACCTTTGGGCCATACCTAAACTACCACGGTCCACGGATGTGGAGCCAAAATTTCTAAATGATGGATTTGCATCCGAATTTTTAAAATCGACAATTTCTAACAATGCATCACGCGATGAACTAAATCGGGGGAGACTGCCCTTCAAAAACAAATCCACTATGGAATGGCCATGGTTGTACTGTGGACCACGAAATTGTGGAACAACGATGAAACCAAAATTAAAATTTTAATTCAAATGCCTTTGTGTGAACAAAGCTTCCAGCAAATGGTTTTATAATTACAGAGATTTGACCAAATCGATGCCATAATCACTAAGAACATTGTTATTAAAATGCTTAACGTATAAAGATTTCATGCCTACAGAGTTACAGAATTTATATGCCTACAAAATTACGATAATTTTAGAGTCGGAAACATTTCATGAGACAAGGCAATTTCGTTTCCTGCCCAGAAAAATGCTTCGCTATTTATACTGATATGGATGAGAAAACTGATGAAAGCTTGCGGAAAAATTTTGACATTGTAAATTTATTCTTGGTTGCTTTTCATCATAAATTTGATGAAACGTCATGCATCGATTGCCTTATCTCCTGAAAATATTGCTTCACATACCCTCCATTACATGCATTGATATTCTTTCTAATTTCTTTCTATTCTTCCCATATATTATTTTACTTGTCTTCTACGGTCTTTTATTGACGTGCTAACTGCAAATTATTCATTCCGGCGCCAACCAACCGTTCAATAATTTCATCTTCACTCTATAATGAGAAGCACATTAAATACTATAATTATTACGGTTTATGGAGTACTTCGTATAATATTCTTTTATTTAGTAATAATCAATAATACGAAATTAACAAAATCCCAGTCTATGTGTTATGTGCTCCTTTTCTATATATATCAATGCTCTCACTATATTACCGAGCTAGCGGTAAAAAAGAACTGCTCAAAACAAGTGAAAATGCTCTCAAATGAACGTAATTGTCCCTCTAACCATATATACGAGTAAATATAGACTAGATTACATGCTAAGCTATATGAAATATTATAATATAAGTATGATATAACGAGCAATTTGATTGGCTACCGCGCGTGCATTGTGAGGCCATAATGCACGCTTCTGGCTTTTGAAGCTTTTGTTGCTAAGCAACATCTTAAATAACATGTAAGGAGAATTTCATTATTGATCAAATAAATAAATTTTGTTGTTGCCCTATAATTTCTTCTTATATTATAAAAGAATTAAAAAAGCTCGTCGCGTGCTTTTATGGTGTAATAATGCACTCGGGGAA